TGTTTGCAGAAACATGGTGAGTACTTCACCCTGGTTTCCTGTCTACTTGGAAGCGATCTTGCAGAAGGCCTCATTTCCAAGCTCACACACCCCACAAAGGGCAGGTTCCTACGGGAGAGGAAGCCTGAGAGGATCTCGGCTTTTATCACCAATGCCGCCTGGTTGGACGACGGCCAACTGCAGGGCTCAAGTAGATTTATCTCTCCTGGAGATCATGTAGTACATTTGCCTAATGCAATGCCCTAGATTTTACAAATTGCATCCACCGATGATGTACTTGCAAGCCTGCAGATCTGAACTCTTCCAAGGAAGACCCAGACATCTGCAGACGACTGTCTGCCCTGGCCATCCGCAAAAGCACTGTTTGAGTTCTATTTTAAATTTCTGCGAATTCCTTGGCTTTCAGAAAACTCGGGGTTGAGCCAATGCACTAACGTTCAATCTGCTTTCACACTGTACAGCCAGAACCTACACATATCAACGATCTTTGGAAAGCTTTTAAGGCTAAAAATTTCTATTATGTGGCCATAATGAGTCCAACTAAAGGAAATCTGAGACTATAAATAGCACAATAGCATCACAAGGAAGGGGAATGAGTGCTTTGCTTAAAATGGCACAAGGCAGTTTATAATTCGATATACTATATATTTCTTAAGTTATCAAATATTAAATACGAGCCACCAAAAGAAAAAAGACCATTCGTGCTGAGGGAGATAAGAATGCATTCTCATAAAAAAAAGTTACATATGCCACATAACTATCACTTTTTAAGGCACTTCTTCGTCTTGCAGCGTTATTCACTGCAAAGGAGCTCTGATTTAACTCCCAAAAATGATGTCACAAAACCCCAAATGCAGAGCAATCGACTCGAGGCTGGTGCAGTCCAGGGCTGCCAACTATCAGCCAAGGGTAGCTCCACAGTGCAAGAATTCATCAGGCTGGCCACGAGAATCGCCGCTTGTTTTCTATACAAATGAGACCTTAAAAGCGCCAACCTGAAAAGCCATTTTAAAAACTGCATTTGCCCGCCGTGCCGGCTTAGAGGGAGCACCTGTCCACGGGCAGGAACCTGAGTGGGTGTAAGATGGCTTCTCCAGGCCGACTGGGACGCAGTCACACGACGGCGCCTTCCCGGTGTAAAGGCTTTAAAACAAGTTATGTGCGGGAAAACCCACTCAAGAGGGGCGAGAACTTCCCAACCGTTTCTGCTGGGACGCGAACTCACGGCGGAGCCGCACCGGGGTGGACCCGCCCGCCGCACACCCCCAGGGCCCTGCGCTCCCTCCCCACGCCCCCGCGCCCCATCCCCACGCCCCCGCCACCGCAGCCCGGCTCTCCCCGAGATTTAACTTTCTAATAATACAACTTTAGGCGGATGATCGCGGGCAGCACCCCAGGCCGAGGCCGACCTGGAAGCGACTTAGCGGCGCCGGCTGCGCAGCGCGCGGAATGGGTGCCCCCTCGTCGCCCGGCCGCGCTCACCAGGTACCAGACGCCCAGCAGGATGGTGCCGGTGCGGACATGGCAGCACAGGCAGCAGCTGTGCGAGTAGAACCGCGTCCAAGGCGCGACCATCTTCATCGCTCCGACGCGCGCACAAGTTTGCGAGAGCGTCGTCCGCGTCGGTCCCGGCTCCGCTAGCCCGGTCGCCCGCTCCTGGACCTCTTCCCCCGCACGCTCCGACGTCCAGGCCCGCTCGCCCCGGCCCTTGGCTCCGCGCTGCCCCGAGAGCTCCGAGTGGCGGCTGCGGCGGGACACTGAGCTCCAAGACCGCGGCGACGCGAGGGGGCGGGGGAGGCGAGGCCTGGGTCACGTGGCCTGCCTGGGCTCGTGATGTCACCGCGGGCTCCAGCCAGCTGCGGGCGCCGGGCACGCTGCGCAAATAGTTGCGGGGTTGCTGGACCCTCAGGGAGGCTTCCAGGGGTTTCCTTCGGCAATGGGTGCAACTTTGCTTGGGATTCGGATTCGTTCCGACTGTGTTTGCCTCGAATCTAGCTTGCAGATAATCGGTGGATGCCGTGCTGGGACCGTAGTTATCTTGCAAACTGGAGGAAGGGAAAACGCGTGGTCTGTACGATTCCAGTCAACTGCGGTACTTTGAACCACTGCGGAACCCGCTGAGAGCAATTTGTCTCAGCTTCCCAGCTCAATTACTCTGGTAGCAATCTTTTCCCAGAAAATAGGATGTGTGTCAAGGGCATCCTCACTGTGCTTCGGTAGCATTTTTAATAATGACTGAAGCTCTAAAGAAACAATTACTGCCGGGAGATCTTTGCAAGACCCAACAACACACAGCGTTGAAGCGCCCAGAGGATGGGGGTGGGAGGTACTTCCTTCCAGCTGGTGTTTTGTCTTGAAGGCTCGCAGCCAAGGTTTAGCCTCTGACCACAGTGATAGCTAAGAATCTCGGATAAATGAGATTAAAAGTCCGTGTGAAAGTTTTATTTCAGACTTGGAACAAGAAATAAAACGGGTTCGATTTAAATTTAAGTACATGTGAAATAAGATTGGTTAGTTTCACAAAGACATGCACCTACCACGCTCTTGGTTTATAGTTTAAACGTAGGTTCTATCCCCAGGGTTACCAAATGCAGGTCCCTGAGCAGAGCTATTACTGTGGGAGGACTTGGAAAAGCTCAGTATTTGTTACTTTTCTTTAATACATTAGAGATAATTTTCTCTTTGGGATCTTTACGAGCTAGGGATTTCCTCTCCTGGCAGAGTGTTATCTTAGCTTGCAAGAAATTATGAGTTTCGGCCTCAGGGTTGCAAAAAAAAAAAAAGCATATAATTGTGTCCGCAGCCACTTGTAACTGGAAAAGCATTAGTGCTCAAAAAGGGAACGGAAATATAAGATGGGGAACAGTGCATTGAAAGATGCTGACTGTTCACAGCCTTGGTAAACTCATAGTTACCGCTCTCTTCCTGCCAGAATTTCAGATTTGTTAAGCGAATGACACATCAATTCAAATAAACTTTATATTTCAGAAAATTTACTATTCAGGATATGAAGTCACGTTTGCCAAATTGCTATAGATTTTAAAATATAGAGTAGAAGCTAGCTGGAGAAAGATGTGCACAGGGGAAGCTTAGTAAACCAAACCTCTACAGTGTCTTTGGGATGACCTTACTGGAATACGAGAGAACTAAGAGAGGTGTGGTGGTGTACACCTTTTATTCCAGCACTTCGGAGGGAGGCGGGAGGCAGAGGCAGGTACGTCTCTGCGAGTTTGAGGCCAGCCTGGTCTTCATGGTAAGTTCCAGGGTAACCAGGGTTATGGAGAGAGACCCTATCTCCAAAAACAAACAACAACAAAAAGGACTAAGGCTTCCCCAGAAACTTGGAGACAGCCGGGTTACTCCCTTTTCTTTCTTTTTTTTGGTTTTTCGAGACAGGGTTTCTCTGTGTAGACCAGGCTGGTCTCGAACTCACAGAGATCCGCCTGCCTCCCGAGTGCTGGGATTAAGGGCTAGTGTGCCACCACCTCCCGGCTTCCCTTTTCTTTTTTGTCTGGGACTTTCTGAGGGACCATGTTGGCTTCAGTTCAGAACAGGGGTCATGTTGTAATCACCCTAGAGGATTAGTTTCCAGTTCTAGTTAAGAATAACTTTCTAGCCAGGGATACACAGAGAAACCCTGTCTAGAAAAACTGAAGAAAAAAATAAAAGAAGTACCTGATGTGTCTTGCAAAATATGTTTTTTTTAAATCTACACTGAATTATGACTGCCAACCCCATGACATATGACTCCCCACCTATGTGATGTATATTCTAGCATGTTCATTCTATAGAATTCTTTTGTGTTTGTTTGTTTTTTGAGAAGGGGTTTCTCTGTGTAAGAGCACTGGCTGTCCAGGAACTCACTCTGTAGACCAGGATGGCCTCGAACTCACAGAGATCCACCTGCTCTGCTTCCCGAGTGCTGGGATTAAAGGCATGTGCCTCAATACTGCCACCACTACCTGGCCGAAATTCTTGCTTTTTCATTATAATTTTCTAACCGCCCATGATCTCACCTCTGTAAACACACCAGCAGCTACTTGTGTTGTGTTTGGTTTTGTTGCTGTTTGTTTGTTTGCTTTATTAACCTTGTGGGTTTTCCCCCCATAAAAGGACCTTAAAAAGCTATCCCAATGGTGTGTTCTCTCAATCCCAGTCTAGGGTGAGACAGCAGACTGGCCAGTACCTGAGCACCTTAAAATATACAGCTTGTTATAATAGGTCACTTGTGGAAGTGTCTTTCTCCTTGTATCTGGGAGTAACCATCCTTGGAGCCCAGGGCAGCTGCCGTTTCACAGCAAGAAATAGCCACTAATAGCAAAGAGCTCACAGTTTAGCTGAGGAGGAACACAGAGAAATAAACACGAAAGGACATAAAGCAGGCTAGGCACTTGTGTGTTGAACACTGCATATCTTGGAAATCCACATCAAAGCCTTGGGGAGATCATGGAGGGCTTCCCAGAGGTGCTGAAATCACAGCAGTTGTTAGGGTCAGAACCTGGTCTCTAGCAGCCCTGACAAGCAAGGTCTGACCACCGGTCCGCAATAGGACAATTAAATTGGCAAATACTAATGAGAAACATAAAAAGGAGATTTATTCAGTGTGGCATTGGGAAGAGGGACAAAGAGGTCTAGTGGCACCCCCAAATCCACCTTTGGGGGCCTGAATGAAGGTTAGGTTTAAGCAGAAGGCCAGTGCAGTGTGAATAAGCAGGCAAGCTGGCACCTTACCCAGCATGGTCTCTGCTCTGTTTCCTGCAAAGTGGCCTGACAAGTTGTATGAGCCCTTTCTCTAGAACAAGTTCCTCCTCCGACTGGCACCAGTTTCAAGCCTCTTCCTTCCCCCAGCACGAGATTCCTGGGGAAATTCCAGTTTGAAAGGGACCATTGTTTCATAGTCTGATAAACCAAGAGACACGAGCGTCTCTTTAGAATGCACTAATTCCTGCCAGGACAGCGACAGTGACCTGTAGGTTAAGTTGCAATTGTCCTGAGGAAGAGACAAAAGAACCAGGATGGGAGATGGAGACGCCAGGGCCACAGCTGACAAGCCTATGGCTGTAGAAACACCTAACTCAAAATTTGGGGTCCAAAGGCAGAGGGCGCAAAGTCCAGAGAGGAGAAGGATGTTGCAAGGTGGTTGGCAACCACCATGGCCAGCAGAATAACAATCTCCAGTCCATGGGACTTAGCAGCCAGTGTTAACTCTCAAACTTTGAGACAAGCGGTGGTGGCACATGCCTTTAATCCATCCCAGCACTCAGGAGGCAGAGGCAGGCAGTTCACAGCCAACCTGTTATGCCCAAATCCACAATGCCCAGCAAAAGCCAACAAGGAAACCAAGAGTCCCGTAAGTAAAAGCAAAAAGTCTTTATTTTAATCAAGTTTGCAAACTCGGTCTCACCGCATGTCCAACGTATTGGAATATCCGAAGAGCCCTGAGCTCAATTAGAATTGGGTTTTTATAGTAGTAAAGGTGGGGGTGAGGAGTTTCTGAGGTTCAGGACCCCTGATTGGCTGACATTTGTCTAGGGTTGTCTTGGTGAATGTGTGCTGGCAGGTGATCCTATCTACAGGTTGCAATGTTAGGCATTTCCTTTGGATGGTCTCTTCTTGGGCGGTGGTCGGGTCCTGTAACCAGGTATTGCCTAGGGGTAAACTACTTAGACTCAGGCCTCTTATTAAATTTTAATATCACCACCTCTGACAGGTGATAATGGTTGGAAATAAAGAACTTCCTTTGGGTGACCTGTCCATACTTAGCTTATCATAGCTGGCCCCCACAGTCTACAGAGTGAGTTATAGGACAACCAGGGCTACACAGAAAAACCTGTCTGGGGTGTGTGTTGGAGGGCTGGGGGAGATGGAACACCAATAGAATGTGATCTTGCCCCAGTCAGGGTCAGGACTGTGAGGCACTCCAGACTGAGCTGCAGGCAACATTAACGCATCAAATTGATGTACCCTCAGAGGCTTCGTGATTAATCACAGAGTCATTAAAGCACACATTGGGGGTTTGGTCAGCGCTGGATTGGAGGCTGAGAGACAAAGTGCAGGAGATGCAATCCCTGCCTCCGAGGGGAAAAATAACAAGAGATATGAAGATGGGCAGATGCAGTCATTAGTGGCAGGTCATGTGACTAGCAATAAAACAACAGATCCTGATTAATAGTGATGTTAATATGCACTCTGTACAATCCATCAGTGTCCAAAGATTTGGATTGCGATCAGCTATAGTTGTACTGGTCAGAGTCCAGTCAGGAAAACAGAAACCATTCTAGGTATTTCAGACAGAGAATGTAACACAGGGGCTTGATACCTGACACACTGAAAATTCCCAGCTCCCTTTTGCAGTCGGCTCAGACCCTTCTCCGACTGTCTTTTTTAAAGATGATTTTCTCTTTTAATGAACATTGCACCTGCGTGCCAGAGGAGGGTTTAGGATCCCATTATAGATGGTTGTGGTGGTTGTACGCCACTATGTGGCTGGTGGGAATTGAACTCAGGACCTCTGGAAGAGCAGCCAGGGCTCTTAATCTCTGGGCCGTCTCTCCAACCCACCAACTGCTTTTCTTATCAGGCTCTCAGTGTAGGAGTTAGCAATGTGACTACACCCAAGATCAGACTAGTTCCTCCCTTGCAGAATATTGGGGGATAATGACGACTGCTTCGTTCTTGAATGCAGAGAATTGTTTAAAATTCCCAGCCCCTCAGAAGCCAAGGGATAGGCTTATTCTCCCAGCTTGCTCTACAGAAGGCGTGCACACCCACACCTACACACGTCCCAGCACGCGAGGGAGTTCCCAGAGAAGAGGTCAAGGTTCAGGGAGAGGGAGACAGCTGTTTTGTTGTGGTCGGAAAGTTGTTGTTAGGTGGTGGGAAGTGGTGGTGAGTTCAAGGTCAGCCTGGAAACCCTGTCTGGAAGAAACAAAAACAAACAAACAAAAAAGAAAGTGAGAGAGGAAAGAGAGAGAGAGAGAGAGAGAGAGAGAGAGAGAGAGAGAGAGAGAGAGAAGAAAAGAAAGAAAGATTGATTGATTGATTCCTGGGTTTTGTCATGTAGACACCCCTGCAATAATCCTCTGGATGATGAGACAGACATCTCAGTAGCTCTGAGTTTGCAGTGTGGATTGTCTCTTCTAGAGACCGGCAATCTGTGTTAAGCAGGCATGGGTCACCACAAGTCACTCTGTCTGAGTCTGCTGATTGAAGAATGTAGTTCTCTATGGTGGTGTCAGGATGACCTAACATAGATTACGGCTGGTCTTGATTATGAACAGAACTCTTTCTGGTTCTGTTCGAGGCAGTAAGGCCTTGTGCTGAGCTAATACCTGAGGCCAAAGCAACTTTGTTTAAAGGTTAGAGTAGCTTGGCTCAGTTATTCATCCCATAATAGTAGCCACAACAAGAACATAAAATTCATACTACAGTGTTGATGAACCCGGAAAGCATTATGCTGAAAGAAATATGCAGATATAAGAGATATAAAGAAGGCAGGAAATACCTCAGTAAAGATGGCAGGACATGGTCACCCGACCTGGCTCTCAGTTAAAATGGCAGTGAAGTCACCTGACCTCAGTCAAAATGGCAGCAGTTACATGTTGTATGGAAAAGCTACAATTTTTGAGCTGCAGGGGTTTTAAGCAAAATAATGAGAGACCTAGAGGTGTGGTCTGCCCTGAAACCGCAGCAGGGAACAAAGGCTGGAATTGAAAACAGCTGCCTCATGGTTCTGACCAATCTTGTCAGCAGCAATGTCAGGGACAGTCTGAGGAAAAGCAGGGCCAATGGGACACCAGCGGAGCATGGTCTGAGGGTTTATACCATAGCTGAAAACCTGTGAAAAACACCTCAGGGGCTATATAAGAGTGTCCTCTCTCCATAGGCGGGGTGTGAGACAGCAGCAGACACCACAGGGCCTGTAGAAGAGCGCCAGTGCCCAACTGCAGAATTAGGAGCCTTTATGTGCTTAATGGGGTCGTGAAATTTCACAGATGGAAGAAGGCGTTTGGAGTCCCTTGAACTAGTCAATTTACACTCCTGAACTAAGGCTTAGAGAGGCCAAGCAACCCGTCCAGGGGCTCACAGCTAATCCATGACAACACTAGAGTTTGACCCTATACCACCTCACCTCCAAAAACTGGTAAAGAAGGGAGGCTTGGTGAGGGAGAACACTGGTCCAAAGCACAGTGCAGCTTTCAGAGGAGTGAGAATAGCAATCCCGCCGTATCACAAGTGGTGCCTAAAAATGGAGCTGGGTGATCTCGTGTTTGTTTGTGACTGTTCCCTTTCTGCAGCGGTTGGAGACCTTCAAATGTCCAGAAATGCATGGTGTCTGTGCCCTGAGACCATGGCCTCCAATAGTGTCTGAAGACCAGATGTTGCCTGCAGCCTTGGCCTTGACCACCAGGGGCTTCTTGCTAGTCTGAGCTGGTTCTGGGGCAGTAGGATTGTGAGGCCCGGAAGCCTGTGCAACAGTGTGTCAGTCTGGGCCACACAGGCAGCCTTCTGCACCCGGACTGCTGTTTGCTTTTTTTTTTTTTTTTTTTTAATCGTCTAGAGCAGGTATTGTCTTCCGCTGTAATTTAAATAGCAAGCAGAAACAAAGAATGCATTTAAATCCTGCTTCCCTATTGAAAGGGAAGTTTAGTTAGATTATATTAAACAAATCCTTGGGAAGTTTTTGCAAGGGAATTTTTGTCTAGTTAGTCAACCGTTTCAGATCGCATGATGTAATTCCTATGCCACGTTCCTAGCCACACAGGATTTAGCACACTCCGGAGAGGAGCTTTGAAATGAGGCTGATGTCATTTTGTTCAAGATGTTTATTTCAGCATCCTTTCCAGTTTTACCCATGAGGAGGGAATCACAAATTGCTCTTTTAAAAAACGAACTGTGCTAACATTTGGAATCCATTCTGATCTAAACAAATGACTGGAAAAAAAAATAAACAAAATGGGGAGAAGAGGCAAATCCTACGTGCAGAAAAATTCCAAATAGTTTCGGTAGCTCCTCCACCAGGAGGACGTGGTGCAGTCCCCACTGTGCTATGCCCAGTGACTGCCTTCAGGAGAGCAGAGTGGGAGAGAATGCCTTCCAAGGAGGAACTGGTCCTGTCTGTTAGCTTTTCCTCAGAAGAGCCACCTCAGGTAACCAACTGAAAAAGAGAAAGATTTGCTTTGGCTCACGCCTTTAAAGGTTTTGGTCCATGATTAAGTGGCTGTTTCTTTGGGCCATGGTGGGGAACAGCTGTCGTGGAGGAACAAAACCACTCCGCTCACAGTCTGGCGGCAAAAGACAGGAAGAGAAAGGGGTTCAAATCCCCGTACTGCCATTTGGAGGGTAGTAGCCACACTGACCTAAGGTCATACAATATCCCACTTCTCCAAAGTCTTGCCTCGACCACAACCAAACTTTTACCTCAGGGACTGTTGAGGGAATGTTCTAGATCCAAGCCACAGAACCTGCTTTTTTTTTTCTGAAAGTAGTCTTGTACCGCGTAACGGTTTTCCTGTGTCTTCCATGCAACGGTGGTTCCCAAACTTGTAATAGAGATGAAAATTACTACAGCCAGGCACAAATGGAGCTGTTGTAAGTAGTCCAGCTGCTGCTGTAAATGAGCCCACCACACTGCAGGCGGCAGACTCACCGTTTCCTGATCCCGTGCAGGGTTCCTGCTGCCTAGGCAGTTCCTCAGAGCCTGGTCTCCTGCTTTGGCTCCTGTCGAGGAGAACTGGCTGAACTGCCCAGGCTTCTGGTGACCTGTTGGCCTGAGGCAGGCACTGCCATTGCAGAGACTGTGCTCCTTGGACAGCCCCTACTGTGCATAGGAAGGAAAGCAATGAGCCAGGTTTAGCCAGGTGAGGTGTGGTAGATCCGGACCTCAGATTCTATCTGCAATTCTGAGTAAGTTATGTTCCTCCCACGTTGTGAATCCATCTCTCTGAGCTGGTTCTGGTTGGTTCCAGGTGTGTCTGAGCAGTCAGGGGAATCCCAGTGAAGATCAGAACTGGGCTTCTCCTCAAGGGACTGCACAAGGCCAACAGGGACCCAAAACCTAGGAGGCCCAATCTTGGACGTGAATTCCACATCCCTCTGGTCACATAGTTTATGTCAGGAGGTCACCGTTCCTGACCCTGGCTCCTTGCCCTGTCGGTTTCTGAATGGAAGAAGTTTGTATCCCTTGGACAGACGCCTGCGTGAGCCTAAATGCTGCAGAGGGTCAGAGATCATGGCCTCTGCAGGAGCTCCTCGAAAGGAAAACGGAGTCTGCGTGTAACCTAACTTGTGGGGGCTCAGGATGGCTGCTCAGCCTGCTATGTACCGGTTCTACCTCACCTTGTCCCTGCAGAGGACCCCAAGGTGACCCCACTCCTGCCTGTGAGCCAGTTCTAGGCCCACAGAGGCCAGGACACAGTCCTGGTTCTCACTCCTCAGTTAGGCTGGATTTTCCACTAATGTAGTCATGGAAATACATTATGGTTATTTATTTGTTCTGTCTCAGACACACACAGTGTTTGTTGTTATTCTCCATTGAAACCGGTAGCTGTAGAACCAACTAAACCAGCTTCAAGGCATTCATAAAAAAACACCCAGGATGTGAGGCCCAGGGTGGCATGGACAGTCCCTGGCTAGGCACTGACTATTTGACTTTCACTGCCTTAAAAGCAAAGGACATAGAAACTTGAGGTTTTCTAGTGATGTGAGTCACTTTTGAAGGACTCCCTTTCCTTCTTGACAGCACCTTTTGTGAGAACTGCCAAGTTGCCACCGAGGAGCTGCTCAGAACTTTGGGAGACCTAGGGTAGCGTGTGTCCATGAAGGAAGCTCAGCTCTGCCAGACTGAGGTAACTTATCTGGGGTACACACTCAAGGGGGGCGAGAGATGGCTATCCACAGCAAGACAAGAAACCAGCCTGAGGATCCCCAGACCCAGCAACTGTGGAGAGGTGAGAAAATTCCATGGGTCTGCTGGGTTCTGTAGACTTTGGATCCTGGGGTTTGCTGAGTCGGCACAGCCCCTACACAAGGCCACAAGGGGAGGGAAACCAGATGGACAAAGCCTCTGATGGAATCAAGGCTTCTCAACTGAACGCATCCACTTTAGAACTGACAGACCAAACCCTCCCGCCTTTATGTGCATGAGAAAAGGAGTTGCCAAGGGGGCTCCTTGGCAGATGGAAAAGGCTGGTGGCCTACTTACCAAAAACTGGACCCAGTGGTCACTGGGTGACCCCTTTGCCTCCGCATAATAATAGCAACGGCCTTGTTAGCTAAAGACTCAAACAAACTGACTTTGGGACAAACCCTTAAAGTAGCAATCCCCCGTGATATCGATGGGTTCTTAAACACCCCTCCGGTAGATGGCAAATTCTCGGCTGACCCTTTCTCAAGCTCTGCTCGTAAATCCACCCAGAATCCAGTTCACCAGCACCTGTGCCTTGACCCTGCCACCCTGGTTTCAGATCCACACCTGGACCAACCTCCCCATGAGTGCGCGGACATCCCGAGTCACCTCCGTGGGATCAGACGTCCCTCTAATGAGGAATGAGGTAACTTGGTGTACCGACGGCAGTACCTTCATCAGGGATGGTACGCAGGGGCAGCAGTCACCACTGAGGACAGGGTTATATGGGAAGAGATGTTGCCTCTTGGGACATCAGCTCAGAGGGCTGAACTGATAGCTTTAACTAAGGCTGTGCAGCTGGGAAGGATAAGACACTTAACGTCTATACGGATAGCCGATACACGCTTGCTATGTGTCAATGGCGCCATCTACAGGGAAAAAAGGGTTATTAACTGCAGAAGGAAAGACTATAAACAAACAGATTTTATGTTTCTTATATTTTTGGTTGTGAGCCTAGCCTTTAACTGCTGAGCCATCCCCCCAGGCCCAGATTTTAGATCTCTTATAGGTCATATGACTGCCCAGGGAGATATCTGTTATGCACTGCCCAGGACACCAGAAAGGAGATGACCCCATTGTAGCGCCTGCACTACGGGACTGGATGTGAGCCGGGAAAGGGGCTGGAGACTTAAACACACACAGACAGAGACACGGGGACACAGGGGTCATTCTTGAAACAAGAATGCCCCCTTTATTGTGTTTGGGGCAGCTTATATAGTGCCCTGGCCACTCCCCAGCTCTCGGGATCTTTCAGCTGCAGGCCCACCAGAAATCACTCCCCTGCCATCAGGGTCTCTTGCTCAGAGCAGCTGCAGGCTGCTCATAGCAGAGGAAAACAAGTTTTTTACAGGAAATTCAGGGCCTGGGGGTCTTACACTGATCAAGAGCTCTGGGGACCCACGTATGCACAAACACCCACAAAGAGAAAGGATGGTTCAAGACACCAGATGAGCGGATAACTCACCCATCAGGTTTGCCACTCAACTAGTCTGGCAGGTATGTCAGAGCACCCACCTGGGAGAGAAGACAGTACAATACCTCCCAGAGAGGACATA